TTAGCTCAATAAAAAGAAAGAAAATGTAGTGATTCAATAAGATAGAAATGGGAAATTTCAATTTAGTGGGTAGCTCTGCTCCACTAGTCATTCAAAAACCCAGACTGCTCCTATCTTGTTTCTTCACTATCCCCAGGGGACAAGGTCTTTGTGTGCCTGATCAAATCCAGGTCACAGATATAATCTAGCTCAAGCTCATAGTAAAGGAAAGAAACACGTTGGCAGCGTGACCATCTCCTAAAGCACCAGGTGGGAAGTGATGCTTCACTGCAGCTTCCATTCAATTGGATATAAGATGGAACACATGGCCACATCTAAGTGGAAAGGGAAATTAGGAATGTAGTGAGGCTAGGCATTAACGTGCCAAGCTAGAATACTGTTATTTGAGTATTTCAAGAGAGATTTAGATTGACGGCTAGCAATCTCTATCACAAGTATATAAGTACTGAGAATTTTTGTGAAAAACTTTTTCTGAAGGGAATCATAAGAAGCTGTTAATAGAAGTTAGCTTTGGGGAAACAGATGGAAAGTGGAGGATGGAGACATTTCTCCCCTTTGAAGCTACCCTATTCTGCTTTCTCCTGTGTACTGTACGCTTACAAATATTACATGTATTACTTTATTTATTAACTTTTATATCAGCAAAGGATGTCTGGATTGAGATTGGAGAAGTATTTAAGACATTTTAGAAGGTATAAATAACAATTTGTAGGTCATTGTGTTAAGTAATGAGAAAGAGGAAATAGTGAAGGAAGATTCTCAGATTTATGACTCAGGCATGAATGGTATTGCCCTTAACTCCAGTGGGGAACACTAAACCTTTTGAGAGGGAAGGTGATGAGTTCTATTTTGGGCATAATGAATTTGAGTTGGCTGTGGAATACTTATTTTGAGATGTTTAGTAAGCCGGTGATTATATAGGTCAGAAACTCATGAGTGAGGCATAGCATAGAACAAATATTTGGAGTTCCAGAATACGTATGGTAATTGAAATCATGGGAGTAGATGGGATTGCCTAGTGAGAAAGTATAAAGGAGAAGAAAGAGGACCTCTGGAATGTCATGCCAACATTCAAGGGTACTTAGAGGAAGATAAAGTGGGAGGGAAGACCTAAGAGGAATGGCCAGACAGGTAGGAGAAAAAAACAGAAGAATATGGTTTCATAGGCGACAAGAGGGAAAGACTGTTTTTAGAAGGAAGTAGTAGTCCAAAACTTCAAATTCTAAGAGGACAAGCAAAATAAGGACTTAAAAATATCAAATTTAAAGAGAAGTTCATTGATAAACATAGGAAGAGCTATTTCTGTGGAGAAGAGGAAACTGATGCCAGGTTGGAATGAACTGACGGTGGTTTTGCTGTTGTTTTTATTTTGTTTTTAAAATGGGAAAGATGTGAGCATATTTAAGTATTGACCTGAAGGATTTAATACAGAATAAAAGTGACTCTTTATAAAGAATAAAGGCAGAGTATGTGTTAAGGTACAAGTCCCTGAGAAGATAGAATAGTATTAAAGAGATTAGCCTTAAAAAGAAGGAGGAGCAGTTCTTCAGTTCTATTGAAAAGGAAGGAAAGAGGGGGTAGACGTTTTATCATATTTCGTGACAGAAAATTTCTCAAGTTCCAATCTGAAGGCCATTATGTTTCTCTGTGAAGTAGGACAGATCATGTCCTGAGAATAAAGGGGGAGACAGTGAAGTTGGAATATTGAAGACTGGGAAGGTTTGAAATAGTTATTATGGCAAATGAGAGAGCAAGCTGACTAGGGAACCATAGAAAGATTCTCAACCTAGTTTAATGATTTTTCTCCAGCAGCCCTGAAGCAGACATGAAGCATGCAGACTGTAATATTCCTTCATTTTTTTCCCCACACTAGGGTTTTGTCAGGTGATTGTAAAGGGAAATAGTGCAAGAGAGTTTCAGGTTTTTAGTGAGAGAATATGCATACCAATTCATCTAAGCTGGATAGAGAAGAGACAATGGGATGGACAGGGAGAAAATACACTTGTGGTACCAGTGAAATCAATGGACAGGTGTGGCAGGAGTAAATGAGTGAGCAACCTGGGAGGATAGGAGGTTGCAGTCAGTGAGTGGAATGTGTGATTTTTGGAGTTCAGAAGTGGAGCAGTTGTAGGGGATAACAAGATCCAGAGTGTGGCTACAAAAGTGACAATTAATGGAGTATTGGGAAGTTTTGTGATGGTGAAGAGATTCAGTAACAGAGAGAAGTTGTTCTTAGGTGAATCATCCATAAGCATATTATAATCATCTAGGTCCCAAATTCTGGGAGAATGGCACAATTTTGACTGAAAAAGGCTGAGTCACCTGCCTCATGATCAGAAAGAAGGTGATATCTTGGGGAGGATTAGAGGATGGTACAGCTAAATAATATCACCCTCAAAGGAGCTTTATTGGTGTTTAATTGTGGTCCCTAGTCCTTTAGCTGCAGGATGTGAAAGTGAAGGGAGGAGATGTGACCAATTGAGTCTTACAGAAAGTGATATAAAATAAGGCAGCTTTGCATGTACAGGGATAATTTGAGGCAGAAAACAACAGCATTCATGCTTTCCTTGACCTTTAATAGGTCCAGGAAGTAGTCATGGAGTTTCGGCAAAGATAAATATATTAGATGTATCAGAAAGAGAGCCAGATAGGATCTCTAAAAGATAATCTTTCTTGCTGCATATTGCATTGTATTCTTCTCTAGCTTATTGGGAAGGGTTCTTTAAGTCTTCCTGGGAACCTACAGATGTCCAGATATGAACCAGAAGCCAGCGTTGTAGTATTTCTCAATGATAAATGGAAGTGAAAGTGAAAGGAGTTATTGTAGGTGCTCTAGTTATTATGGCTGTGTGAGATGGAAAAATCAACATCTGTTTGATGCGCTCTGGCCATTGTTCTGTGGACAGTGTACAGACTGTGTGAGTCTGCACGTGGAGAACTTTGAAGGGAAGAACCTGCCTACAAATTGTAATTGCTGGATTGTTGATCCATAGAGCTAGATTACCTCCTTCAGAAACACAATGGTGGCAGGTATGGGTCTAGTGTAGGCGATGAAAGTTTCCATCACCACCAGAATTGTGTTCTCATTCTGGAACAGTGTAGATCTATTATAAAATTTGAATAATGGTCTTCTAATGGACTTTGGGTTGGACATGGGTATAGCTACCCATTCAGCCACCTGGGCAGCATGTCTTTCTCTAGAGCCTGGACACATGTCCTATAGATGGCAATATACCGAAGGTACGGCCAGATATGAGTCTAAGAAAAGTTCCAGAGGACTATATTCAGAGTCTTGATTTGGTCTCGGCGAACCACTCAGCTGCTTCTTGGAAAAGGCAAATGCCTGAAATGGAGAATTTCATCTGTTTCTTCAGGCACTGCCAGGGCAGCTGTGAAATGTCAATACACTTTGCTGTTGTAGATACTTACCTGTTGCTTCCTCCTAATCCAGCCCAATGATTCCAGTTGTAGTTGTGGCAGTGTGCTGTAGACTCAGACTCAAGCTGGTTTAGGTTAAACAACTTAGAAACTCGAACAAGAGGAAGATTGACCTGGGAGAGTATTAGCTTGGCATTTCTGGCTATCTAATATAAATAATGATATGAAATTCAGATCTTTGAAAAAAGGCCCATTGTATTCTAGCACAGTTTGAATTTATTTTGATTGATTGATTCATGTATTTATTTGTATATTTATTGGTTTATTTGCCTTTCCAGAGTTATTCCAGGCTGCAGTTATCAGACATTATGATCACAGGGTGATTGGCCTAGGCTCCGAGTTTTACAGGCAGTCTTTACAGTGAGTAGCTTTTCGCATAGGTACCAGGGCAGGGGTCCTCCATCCCTGCAGTTTTAGGACACGATAACTTCCGCTTTTGTTTCGAAGGCGTCTGTTTCAGTGATCGAGGGTTATTAGGGCAGGAAAAGTAGACTAGGCTTTAGGTAAAGGAGACTACATCAGTTCTTGAATTCTGGAAGGCTAGTGTTCTGGCTGGGATGTAAACAAAATGCATTTCTTCCTTGAAATAGTTTGTTAGTGGGGCAGTGAAATTAGGGAAGTGAAAATAACTACAAACCTCTGGATGACCTTGATGGACCAGAAAGCTTACCATTCAAGAGTGTCGGATACCTTATTGGGTGTCACCAAAAACTTCTGATAAGATATGAGTCAGGAATTTGATATTCAGGTGTTTGAATATGTATTTCTTAGGTTTGCCATTCTTCTAGATTGCCCAGAGTGGCCTAACCATGGACATATATGCCTAATGTTTGTTTTTATAGCTTCCAGTTACACACTGAGTTAATAAGTAATCCTGTTTAATGACTAGGATTAATGACCCTCCCCTCACTGAACAATATCTTCCCTCCCTATCTTCCCTATCTTTCTTATCCTATCTTCTTGGTATAAGCTGCCCAATTCATATTTACTTTTGGGCGTCTTTTTCTTACTTAACTCTGGGCAATTGATGTAATAATTTCTCAGTTGTCGCCTCTGCTTTCTACTGTGTAAATCCCATTTAAATTTGTTTGCTTGTTTATATATTTACGTGTTTTTCATGTAGACCTCAAAGTAATCCATGCAGCTGGATTTTTGGGACAATAGGCATTTCGGGATTTTGCAAACTCTTCAGAAAATTAATATCATTTCTGTAGAACTTTTTGTACATTTCTGCCAACCAGAAAGCAGTTAATTATAAGACATTCCATAACATCCATTTTTAAAGGAAAATTTTGTTACAAACGAAAATGAAAGAAGCTTTAAAACTCACTCATACTTAAATTACAGTACTTTGTTCCAAGGTCATGGGAATTAGTTTCAGAAGAACCTATTTTCTGGGGGAAAAAAGAAGGGAAAGATTACATCTCCAATTTAAGTACTTCCTGAGTCCATTTTATTAATTAAATCACCTTTATAAACTAATTAAAAATTGGTAACCATATTATTTAAATAACATAATATTTGAGACTTTTTCTAACTAAATGTTTTCTGCTTTTTTGTAGAGGAGCTCTGACAAGAAGGCCTTATAAACCAGGACTAATTTGTAGTCAATGTAGCAGATATGACAGATGCACAGATTTTCTATGCAGTAAGATAAAGAAAATGATTTAAATATGAAAAAAATGCATCGGACGACAAGGAAAATGAAGTGTTGAACACTCATTTTTCATTGTCGTGTTAATATTGTTCCTTTGATCAGAATGGTATTATTATGTTATCAAAGGAGGGTTGAAACAGTATCATCTTTAGATTTTTCTAAACTACACAGCCTTTTCTGCCCTCTCTCACCCCTGTTCCTGCCCCTGACATACCGGAATCCCAGAAAGAAGGAATGAGAACTAACAGTTATACCCTGAAAAGGCTTCACAGCTGATTCCTGAAATAGCAGCCTGTTAGAAAATGACTGCTCTAAAGGATAGGATATTCCAGAATATTTATATAGAGAAAAGAAGTAAAGTAGCAAATGTTTAATGGCCTTTTCTTTTATTTTTTCCCCCCAAATATTCAAAAGGTAAAAGTAGAAAATATATTTGATTAAATTTTTCTTTTAATTTTTTCAAATGTAAGAGCAGATAGTTGAAAAGTATAATTATACCTGGAATACATGATGCTTAGAGGAATGCGGTAGGGGATAAATTCAGAGAGTAAGAAGGGACATATTAGCTTTTGTGTTGAAACTAGTGGACAATTTCAGCATAATGCCACTGCTGGGTGAATCCACCCTAATGTTTCTGCCCTTGCTTCACTTGAATCAGGATGCAAAGTCTTGCTCTTCCTCGTCCCCTTTCCTTTCGCTTCCTGAAAAATTCAGTCCTAAAGCCATTAGGTAGGTCAGGACATGGAAGGCATCCACACAGAGAGCCAGATGTGACATGTGAGATCCTAAGGAGGATGACTAGAGATCCATACAAGGCAGTGGACATGGGGAGACAGCCTAAGCAGGGTGAGGACAGTGTCCATGTGGGGTATGGCCTTGTATAGGAAGTTAGAGCCCTTGTGGAGTGAAGTGAGTGTCCATGCACAAGGTCAGGCTTGGGATATCAGAGACAGATCAGGATGAAGGGATGGCTGTGCAGGGGTGGCTCAATATGTGCTGTCTGAGCCCAAGCATGGTGAGGAGAACATCAACATGAGGTGGGAGGGAGAAGCCTGGCGTAGAGTATCAGCGCCCAAGCAAATGAGGAAGGCTTCCATGGAGTGATGGTCTGGCACTGGCTGTTGGAGCCCAAGCAGAATGAGGAGAGGATTGACTCATAGGGGTGACCTGGCAAGAGATATTAAAACCTAAGCAGGTAAGGGGGCATCCATGTTTAGGGGCGACCTCACATGAGGTGTCAGAGTCCAAACTAGGTGACTAGGTGACTAGATGACTAAGGCGTTAATGTGCAGGAGGTGGCCTGGCATGGGAGGGGTCAGAGCCTGGTGGAGTAAGCGGGGAAGCCACACATTGGAAAAGTCCAAAGCTGAGTTTCAGAGTCTGAGTGGTGGGAGGGAGTCCAAGTGGAAAATCAGCCTGTGGGTTGCCATATCAAATGCAGGCTGCCCAGCTAAATTTTAATTTCAGATAAATGAAAAATATTTTTACTATAAATATATCCCAAATATTACATGGGATATACTTATACTAAGAAATTATTTGTTGTTTTCGGAAATTCAAATTTAACTAGGCATCCTATATTTTTATTTGCTAATTCTGGCAACTCTACCAGCCTAGTGTGTGGTGTCAGCCCAAGCAGGATGAGGAGGGCACCCATTTAGGGCAGAGTAGAGGCAGTGATGGGAGATTGGCAGCACATGGGGGATTGATCAAATGAGTAAACCGATTAAGCATAATGGGAGACAATTTTCTCACTGTCAGAGAATGGAGTACAAATATCTAAGTGAAGAAAACAAGCATGACTCTTGTGATGAATTGGAATTAGAGGTTTGGGAACTTAAGGATTTCAACAAATGTAAATAAACATAGATGTAAATATCTGTATATGTATGTGTATACATACATATATTCCCTTGTTCTGAGTTGGCCTTAGAGCAGTACCCTCCTACCCCCAAAGCAATGAGCACAACTAGCACCCAGATCTTGATTTCTAAATTCTAGTCTGCACTCAAAGGAACCAGGGCTCATTGGAGAAAAGTTGGTTTCCAGGGCTGGGGCAGAGAAAGCATAAGATAAACGCAGAACATCTTTTTATACCTGAAAGCAAGGAAGTGCTCAAAGAGTGATGGAATATGTAACAAAAAGGACACAAAAGGACTCAGAAGCCATCTTAAAGGGCTCTCACTGGTCAAATCAATTTTTAACTCATTGGATAAAACAAACTATGATTCATACCAATATAATTTAATAGATGAATAAGTTAAAAGTTTGATGAGGAACAGTGTATTTACACAGTTCCAAAGTAACTCCTCATAAAAATACTTAATTACTAAAGGGAAAAGAGTAACTTCACAATGGAGCAGCCTGGCAGACATCACCCTAATAAAGTGATCAAAGTGAACATCATCAGCAATGGGAAGAGCATAACATCACTTTTGTGGTACTTCTACTAAAGATGCATGACCTAGTCCAATCACAAGGAGGCATCATGTAAGTCCAAATTGCAGATTTGTTTAAAAAATTGAGGTTTTGTCTACAAAACAAGTGGCTTGTTATCTTCAAAAATGTCAACATCATGAATGTTAAATAAAGAATGAAGAACTGTCTCATACTGAAGAAAATAAATAGACATGAAAACTAAGTGTAATGCATGATTCCAAACATGGTTCTTTTGCTATAAAGGATGCTATTAGCACAATTGGCAAAAATTGAATGAGGTCTAAAGATTAAGTGGTAGTAATTTAAATATGTTAATTTCCTGATTTTGATGGTTGTATATGGTTATGTAGAAGAATGTCCTTGTTTGTAGGAAATGCTAAGTACTCTGGGATGATGAGGTATCAGATTGGCAACTTTCATTAAAATGGTTCAAAATAGTTATTTGTATTGCAACTTTTTTGTAAGTTAGGGCTTCTTTTAAATTTTTAAAAATTTCTAAAGAAGGATGCAAAATCAAAGGAAAGCAAATCAGTTTGAAGATTTTTGTTAGAGTCCAGGGGAGAAATGAAGTCCATTTTGGAGTATTTGTCAGAGAAATAGAGATGATGAGACAAATTTGATTAATATTTATGGAGCAAAGTTAGCAAGTCTTGGAGACTAATTTGATATGATATGGTCATGAGAAAAAGAGAGTGTAATATAAATATCAGGTTTTGGGTTTGCGTGACTAATGGTCAATGGCAATTTATTGAGATAGGAAGTATATGAAAATAGATGATGGGTTCAGTTTTGATCATTATTTAGCTTTCAGTACCTGTTTAACATCTGAGTAGATAAGACTAGTAAACTTAAGGTACAGATCATGGCTGTATTTCAGAATTATTAGCATATAGATGAGACTAAAAATATAAAAAAGGAAGAACTCAGTACAACACAGAGGGAGAGAACAATAGTATACCAAGAATGGAATCCTAGGAAAAAACAATGAGAAATACTGAAAGAGAACGGGGGCAACAGGAGGAGAGGGACAAGGAGAAGAGGATACCCAAGTGTACCCTTTCATTAAAGCATGCTCATGGAATTGGCAATACGGAGATCATTAGGGACCTGAGAGAGATGTCAGAGGAGTAGTAGGGTAGCAACCGAACTTCCATGAGTTGAAAGTGAATGGAAAGTGAAGAAGTAGAAATATCTAGGGCAATATCATGTGGTCAAAAAGCTTGGTTGAGGAATTTCCAGTTTAAAATAGCATCTTGCTGGTAGGTTCCAACAAAGCTTATCCTAATTTTTCATTAAAATGCCACTAAGGACTCTTTCATTTAGCTAATCAACAAACATATGTTTAGTGGTAATTGTGTGCCAGATTTTGCACCATGCAGTGGGGGTAAAATGGTAAGGAGAGAGACATACTTCCTGCCCTCTTTGAACTTACAGTCTAGCTAGGAAGATAGCATTTAAAGTAAAAAATAATATTGTAAAGTATAAAGCTATCATTTTTAAATTTTATTTATTTAAAGTTCTATGAATTTTCATATATGTATAGATTCAAGTTATCACCACTAAAGTCAGGATATAAAACAGTTCCATGGCCAAATAAAACCTCCCTTGGTTTATTCCTTTATGATTTCACCCCCCTCCCATCCCTAATTCTGGCATCCTCCAAGCTGTTCTTCACGACTTTAGTTTTGTCTTTTTGAGAAAGTCATACAAATGGAATCATATAGTTTGTAACCTTTGAAGACTGGCTTCTTTCACCCAGCATGATCCTTTGAGATTAAGCCAAGTCGTTGTATATATTAATAGTTTATTCTTTATTTGCTGAGTAGTATTCCCTTACATTGAGATACCACAGTTTGTTGAACCATTCATTCATTGAAGGACATTTGTGTTGTTTCCAGTTTTTGGCAGTTGTGAACAGAGCTGCTACAAACATTTGTCTACAGGTTTTTGTGTGGATATGTTTTTATTTCTCTAGGGTAAATACCCAGAAGTGAGACTCCTGGGTCATATGGTAAATATGTGTTGAACATTATAGGTAAATGACAGATTGGTTTCGTAGCTGCTCCATTTTGCATTCCCCCCAGGAATGTATGGGCATTCCAGTTGCTTTGTTTTCTCATGAGCGCTTGGTGTTCTCAGTATTTTTTACGTTAGCCACTCTAAAATAGTGTAGTAGTATCTCATCGTGGTTTTAATCTGCATTTGTGTGTAGTGTAGCGTATCTCTTTGGTTTTGATTTGCCTTTTTCTAATGGCTGCTGATGTGGAACATCTTTTCGTGTACTATTTACCTCATTATATCCTCTTTGGTGAAGCGTCTGTTCAAATCCTTTGCCCATTTTTTAGTTGGATTGTTTATTTTGAGTTTTGAGAGTTCTTTATATATTATAGATATAAATCCTTTGATTGATATGTGATTTGAAAATATTTTCTCCCAGTCTGTAGCTTGTCTGTTCATTTTTTAACAGTATCTTTTCATGAAGCAAAATATTATAAAGTCCAAATTATTAATTTTTCTTTTCCAGATTGTTTTTCTTTTACCATGCCTAAGAA